AATCAAAAATATATATAATTTTTTTGTTTTATTGTCTTTATTTTTGTTTATTCTGAGAAATTAAACTTTCATCCATTTATAATAAAATAAAATTGAAGACAAAACTGTCCAAAAAGGATCACCATTTATTACTTGTGTTCCAAGACTAAAACATTTTCGGCGACTGACCTTCCTTTTTAGGCTACTTGTCGCCGGAAAGTTTACAAAAAGTCCTTTTAAAAAACACAAAACACATCCAATTAAAAGGACTTTTTGTAAACTTTCCGGCGACAAGTAGCCTAAAAAGGAAGGTCAGTCGCCGAAAATGTTTTAGTCTTGGAACACAAGTAATAAATGGTGATCCTTTTTGGACAGTTTTGTCTTCAATTTTATTTTATTATAAATGGATGAAAGTTTAATTTCTCAGAATAAACAAAAATAAAGACAATAAAACAAAAAAATTATATATATTTTTGATTTTCTTTTTGAAACCGTTTTTTTTTTTTTATCGAAAGTGTAACCAAAAGGTACGTCTATATATCGTTTATGTACTCACTGTTTTATGTAAATTCTCTACTGTAATAAGTTAAAATATATATATTGTATTTTAGTTGACTGAAGAGGGGCAAAGCCCGAAACGAGTACGAAACAATGTACCGTATCGACTCAACTAATAAAGGAATTTGATGGAAAATTTGCCATGTGTTTTTGGAATAAAACACAATACTAGTGTTTACTACGCCACAAAAAAAATTATATTGTATGCATCTCAATATGATTTTCTTCACGTGTCTAACATCTAAATCGGGGCCCATATATCCCATAGAAAGTCCTTCCGGAAGGCATCCTCTTGGCGGATCGCTCATATATTGGTTTGTCTTATCTAGAGGATTTGATCCCGGGATCTCGAAAATCGGGATCCCGGGATCCCGACCACTTTTCAGTTCCAAAATTTTCGGGATTAAGTTTTCCTAATCCCGGGATTTTCGGGATTGACATCATTTTAAAAAAATTGCAAAATAGACTGCATGAAGCGAAACGTTCAGTGCCAGTGCTTTTAACAGAATTGCTTGCCTATCATTTTAATATAAAATACAAGAAATTTTATTCCAAGCAAGCAGCAGAAATTAACCAAGCGGGCTTGCGATGCTTGCTTGGAATAAAACTTCTTGTATTTTCAACTAAAATGATAGGCAAGCAGTTCTCACTGGGTTACTTGGTAATATACTTCATTTTTGTATTTTTGAATTTTCGCGGGCGCCAATCGATTTTCTGGCGCAGTCGAGAGCACTACTCAGTGCGTTTTACCTGTCAATGTGTCAGCCATCTTGTTTTGCCAGTGTGGTTAATATAGACCCGACGCCTCTCGCTTAGGGGGGTCGACCTTAGGTGAAAAGGTTACGACCCTCGCCTTGCCCGCGATCTGTCAGGATGATGCGAGAAAGTCTTTTTACGTTTCGGGGTAGTGGTTTGCTGGACGCTGAGAGACTCACACAGAGACCGAATTTACAAAATTAACGCGTTTATTTTTAGAAAGACATGCTTACAATGATCGAAACAATCGGGATTGTAGCCTTTACTCCTACAATCCCGATCCGTGTCGACCGGACTGTTTTCTTCCATCCTCCCCGTGTCCTCGAAGCTTATAAGTATTTACTAACGATTCCTCCAACTTCCATCAAACCTAAACGCGTTTTCTCAGCAGCTGCATATATGTGCAACAAACTGAGAAGCAGACTTGGTGATGAGCACAGGATGCGTTGTTATTTCTCGGATCATATTTTCGCAATTCAAATTAGAATGTTCCTATTAGATTAGTTTTCTTTATATTTAAGAAAAATGTGACTGATTAATATTATTTTTAAATACTCTTTGCTAAGAAACTTATCTTACTACCTACTTACTAGGTTGCTATATGAAAGTAGTTTATTTAGTCGATGTTAAGAGAGATTTTTGTTAATTTTCAACGTTTATTTGCATAGTTTGTTACATAAAGGTTTTTTCAATTTATGTGAGTTTAAAGAGATCTCAGTGATGCTTAAAAAAGAATAAATTTAACATGAAGACTGAGTGATTTTAAGTCTGGTTAGTCTGACTCTGAGTCTGATTAATTAGAGTGATTAAATTAGCTAGGTGTATACTGTAAAATATGTTGATTTTTGTCTAAATTTTGATTTATTGATTTCTGTAAGATTTTCTTATTTTTTATTAACCCTCAATACCGAAATAATCCCGGGATCCCGGGATTGACTAAGTATAATCCCGAAATCCCGGGATTAGAAATAAGGACCGGGATCGAATTCCCTATTCGTGAGGCAAGTAAATGTATCAAAAATTTAAGAACACAACTGATATAAGAAAATCAAACGAATGTAGTTGATTTACGTTATTAAGAAAGTATAATTATTAACTTATTTATTTTTGTCCCGGTCATATGGAGATATGCAGTGTATCACCTCAAAGTGTCCGGGTTGACATATTAAGTTTCCTGAAAGCGAAAGTGCCCGTGGACACTTTCACCGGGGGACATTTTGAAGTATGACACCAGCCTGTTGATCGAGTCGGTTAAAGCTGCGCTCAGACATGCACACGTAAGGTAACAGGTTGATTTTGACGGAAGGCGTCTTACGTTTAGTCAATTAAAATTGTCCTATCATTCTGTGCGCACACAGGAACGATAGCAATTGAAAACGTAACGTAACGTAACAAATGCATGTGTGAACGTATACTGAACGTTAGAAAAAATTCACTTAATAAAAGAAACCAAGTTAATATGTTTTTAATTGACTATTGGCAGATAATTATAAATTTTTTATTTTTAGATTTATCTTGATACAATATGAAATAAAGACGATCCTTTATCATAATGAAATCTGATTTGCTGCTACATTATGCTTTTACGTGTACTTACACCTTACTATAAAATTTAAAATTATCTTAAAAAATAAAGTCAGTGCCTATGTTGCCGCTAAAGCTCGAAAGTCGTTAATGTGTACATTACCTAGCTAATCTGCAGATTAACTAGGGTGATCCGTTAAAGTTGTGAAAATTGTTCCATTTCTCAAATTACCTAGATAATGTGCAGAGTATCTAGGTAATCCGCACATTACCTACTAGGCACTTGGTAAAGTGAAAATAAGATCTTTACCACAAATAAATGTACCACAAATAGGTGTGCTTGTCGCAAAAACCAATTGCTATGAAATTCAAAGTGTCACCAATCTTTAAACTGCACTAATAAGTAAGCACAATTGGATAACATTACCTATGATGAGTAAAATGGCGGCTCGTCTCTGATTCCAGCAAACAGAAGAAAGGAAACAGTGGGGATGCACGTTCAAACCTAACCTAACCTATTCTAATAATTTGGTTGGTAATAATTATGGTAATTTATTATAATAGGTTAGGTTAGAACGTGCATCCCCACTGTTTCCTTTCTTCTGTTTGCTGGAATCAGAGACGAGCCGCCATTTTATTCACCATAGGTAACATTAACTGCACAATTACATCATGCGATTACCAGAAAAAGTATGATAACTTTATTATTTTTCGTCTCCGGTCCAAAAGTAGGGAGGGTATCGTTGAAGTCGTGTCGGATCCCTCAGTTCAGATAGATACTCAAAGTCCCGAAATTCCATAGGTGATTATCTATATAATAATTTCCCTAATTGTATTAATATTTTAAACCGTTTGATTTTTTGTATGTTTTTTAATTGGTTGATGATTGTGACTTCTATCAACTAATTTGTTGATTGCATTAACTTGATTCTTTAGATATCGAAAATTAAATAAAGAACATTATGTTAATTTAAGCGTACAGAAACGTTGCTGTTGTTCCAGCAAAGATCTTATTTTCACTTTACCGAGTGCCTAGTAGGTAATTTGCGGATTACCTAGATACTCTGCACATTATCTTGGTAATTTGAGAAATGGAACAATTTTCACAACTTTAACGGATCACCCTAGTTAATCTGCAGATTAGCTAGGTAATGCACACATTAACGACTTTCGAGCTTTAGCGGTAACACTTACACTATTTACGACGTGCTAGAAAAATTATTAATTAGATCTCATACGGAGCTGCATTACGTCGCGTGCATATTTTATGTACAGTATTGATAAATTGACGTGCTGTCAGTAACTAATTAGTAAAATGTAAATAATATCATATTTTAGTTTATACAACACATTAATTATGAAAAGAAAATGTGTTATTATTTGATTTTAAACAGACTTTTTCGTTTTTCTTTTTTCCTACTTCCAATAAACTCGATATGACGGAATAGAAGCAGTATATAACCTAAAAATAAATGAACTATAGATAATTCAATATTTAAATATGTATATAATAGTTTAAATGAATCAATTTACTCTGATGATAAAATTCTTCTTGACATAAAAAAATCCTCCGATAGAAATTCCTATTGGACTTTTTCCAAATCGTTTCATGAAATTCACAATCTATAAGTAAATTATATTGCGATTAGTACTGTAAAACTGGTATCAAGTTATTTAAAAACTAGCAGCTGCCACTTACTTTAAGTTTACTTTCGATACATAAATCAGCAGAGGAAAACTTGTTGATACTTATAAAGTCACCATAAAGCTAAAATGACAGAACATATTTTTAATTAAACTACTTAAATTGAATTAAATCTATTACATAACTTACCCGCATCGTGAATATTGAAATATTCAATGCAACGATTACCAATACAAAAAATATTACAAAACATATAATGTAAATAGCGACTTTAATATGGTTAGGCATACTCATGAATATGATAGCGTATATGAAAAAACTAACGATATATACAGTAGAAGCGTATGCTATGGGAAACAATAATTCTCCCATCATGTTAATCTCCTGTATACAGTACCAAATTCCCGTATGTGTTTCTATTATTTCTTGAATAAAATTCTTCAAGTTTCTGAATGTAGTTTTTGACAAAGAAAATTTTATGTTCAATTCTTTTAAATTTTCTTCCATGATAAAAAAAGCAATCCAGAAATGAATAACGATGAGAAAAATATTAGCAAATGTGTATATGCAACTAAGAGTTATATATACAGCACAGCATATAGATGACAAATCTTCTCCGTTCTTTCTTAAAGCGGGAAAAAGAGATAAACTGAAAAAAATATTAATGGCTAACATGACAAAATATAACAGAACAAGTATTAACAATGATATTAAATCGATCGTTTTTTTCATCCTACATCTTCCAAAATAGTAATCTTCTTTAAAGTATAGGTGCAATTTATTTCTTTTGACAATACTAAATATGAATGCGCAAACAGTATACAGGAGAAGATAAAGGTATCTTACTGCATGTGTTCCTTCTCCATACATGTTGATCCATCCAGAACAAGGAAAGCCATTAATGAGAATTTCTAGGAGACGTTGAATAACTATAATCCAAGAAAATATTTCTACGGCACCGCAGTATAATGTGTATAGTTTGTTACATAAAATAACTCTGTAGCTTTGGTGGCCAACATACTTAACACACTGGCAATCTGGAATAATGTTCAAACCAAACACCTTACAAACCATGCGAATTGGATTAATGAGACAAACGTGACATATTTTATGATCGTGACAAAGCATGGTAATTTAAATAATAAATATGAATATTCGCCGAAAGTTTACCTGGACTATTTTTAATCTAAAATCTGTAATTCTCACAGATTCCTCATTGGAATGAAAATCTCTGTCCCTTGCGGAAATTTTAACTGTAGTGTGGCCTTAAGCTGATTGAGTCCAATCTGCCCAATCGGGTGAAAACCGACTTCAATTAAATAAAGCGAAGCAATAATATTGTCACATCAAATTTATGAATGAAGAAACCAATTTGAGAATATGGATACCACTAAATTATACTCATAATAAGTAAACATAACGTAAATATTTATTGTACATAATAAATTTTTCCAATGCTTAGTGCCCAATCGGGTGAAAACAAACTTCAATTATCTAAAGCGAAGCAATAATATTGTCACATCAAATTTAAGAATGAAGAAAACAATTTGAGAATGTGGATATCACTAATTTATACTCATAATAAGTAAATATAACGTAAATATTTACTGCACTTAATTAATTTTTACAATACTTACTATGATCCAGTACATAAATTAAATAATTACGTAGATATTTTTATTATATAATAGGGTATTATAAACGGAATATTATAGTAGAATGCTAAATAAGTAAATCATAAAGCATAAATTTGTAGAGGAGAAGGTGGTATTATGGAACCCCAATTACATTTTAGTGAATTGTAAACAAGTTATCATAACTACACCCACATTTTTTGTTTGAAAAGTACTGGTAACTAGTAAACTAAATGTTCCTAATTGGATTTTTCGCTAGTTTAATTATAAGTATGGTTTTTGAAGGCTTTTGTACAAAAAGTCCGAAAGTAGGCTTAGAGAAAATCGGGTGGTAATATGGAACCTTACTGTATATTTTCNAAAAAGTTACAACGAAATAATAAAAAATTCAATATAAATATAAATTATTCTTCATCAAATCAATCAGTAATTGAATCGAATTACATAAAATTTCGGTATTCCATCGTATTTTATCACATTTTTCCGTGCATCAAAGTTCATATAAAAGGAAAGATTCCCTGTACATGACACTACATGCGTGTCAATACATTTTTATCCTTGTAAACCGAGAGGAATCAAAATTTTTTCTCTTCTATCTTGAAGATCATCGAACTTAGGCAATCGATTCACGAGAATGATTGCATGGCAAAAATGATGTATGAAAAAGGTGATTGAATAATCATAAATCAAAACTGGTATATTTTAAATTTTTTTTCATTATGTAGCCTTTATTAAGAAACATAATTTGAATAATATAAGCAAATTTTCATTTTCAGTTTCTTCCATTTGGCAATTCAAACAGAAAGATGTTATTATGTTAATAAAACAATATATTGTATACGACTCATATGTATTATTTATTATAGTTCCTCCTTAGTCTACTGTATTGTATTAATTTGTATACGTATACCTATATTATAAAACATAATAATTTTTTAAAACCTTATTATTTTAAAAATCTTGGCCTGCCAAATCATCAGAAACATGTGAATTAGAAGTCCCAGTTGTGTACAGAATATTAAAAACAGTTCTTTCGAACTGAATTTTTGTTATACTTCAATAAAATTTGTATATATCAGTAATTGTAAATTTGATATAATCATTTTCGCATTAGAAGATAAATAAAAGGTCTAAATTTACGCTTTTGTCTTCTACCTATGTCTTAATATAAAAAGTTTTATACGTTTTTTGAAGTTAGCGAATATTCCTTAAAATATATTCAAATTCGTTTCATAACAAAACTCTGATAATAGTCATCAAAGATCCAACTATTTATTCAAACCTTTGACATATATTTACTATATTAAATGATAATGTTGAATATGAATAAACACATGATAAATGAAAAAACAAAATTACTTAATTACCATAAAAGCTTGATTTGGGTCATTTCTGATCATTTCTCGTGAATTTTCCCTATGGATTATTTCAAAAATTACGTTTTACAATTTCAATTATTAAAAATCCTTTTATTTATTTATAATATTAAGTTAAATCAGTTAGAAATGTTTGTAACAGCCTGCTAGGTTACAGGAAGTGATGCACAGGATTGTTAGGAGAACTATTCCACTTGTTTTCTACTCTTGGTAAAGGTTTGCATTTTATCTTCGCCGTTATAAATCGATCCCTAGTTTTAGAAAATCTTTTCAGACTTAAAAATTCGATTTATACACTGGCATAAGCGCAACTTTAAGCTAGTGGAATTGGGCCTTTGCCCTTTCTGTCGCTTTTCGGTGAATATACAACAATCATTTAATATTCAGTAATCATAAATGTTTTTATTTAACCTAACTTTATACATATTTTTTATACATTCGTTTTTAAAATTCGTAATATAATATAGACTCGTATTTCTACGGCTTGGAAGAATAAAGGCCAATGTCATATGCATTTGTCTTTGACCTTAATCCTTATTCGTCCAAGACAGATTTATGAATTAACTTCCATGTGGTTCTGTGAGGTAACTGTCACTCTGAAGGAATATGAATTGTTCCTATCAGTTACCATTGATTCAAAAAATCCTAAAATTAACAATAAGTCAACTTATTTTTACAAAAATTAAGTAAAAATAAGACAAATCCTATTCCATCTAACTGTAGTCCTTCGATTTGTCTGTAGATCATTTCTCCCGAGCTGCAAGAGATCAGCTTTAAAAATGAATTTATGAAACTTTAAATTATTTATTTAGTCATCGTTCAAGTGTAAAATTTGAAGGCGATTAACAGCTTGACTTTATTCGTAATTTTAAAATAACAGATTAAAATGTTATTTTAATGTTGATTTTCGTTATTTACTAGAATTTGTTTCGTATATTTTCCCGTAAAGCGCCTCCCTAGAACAGTAGGCTGCCTGTCACCTATCTGAAGTTTTTGAATTATGATTTTATTTAATTAATTAATTTATTTTTCAAAATCCTTTTCCGAATCTTGTGCATAGGCTGCATACAATTTTTTTTTCTAAACTCTTTCCGACCTATGGGTACTAAGAGAGCTGAACTCAATTTCGTAAATTATAATAGAAAATTTATAGTAATAGTCTAGTAAATTTGTAGTATGGCAAAATCGTAAAGCAAATGATCAAATATATTTTGATAGTAGTATAATTAATTTATTGAATAATTCCAATTTAATAGATTTTAACAGGAAAAATATTAAATGTGTTTTAGTCTGTTTGTCTATTGATTTATATCTGATTGTATAAAAAATATTAATATGAAATTGAACATTTTTTCATAATATGAGAGATTATTTAAAGTGAGTAAAGCACGTACAGTACAGTAGCATTATTAATTGATGTATTTTTTTCGATTATAGAATTTACAAAGTTATTTTCTTTATGGAGTTTTGTAGTTTGGTTTTTCCATTTTAAAAAGAAAAAACAAGGAAACGGCATTTTGTATATATGTTCGTGTATATGCCTGTAATTTGCTTCATATCTCAGAATGCCATAAGCATTAATTAATTAAATTTGCCTATGGATTTTACAACATTGAAATTTTCAATTTATTTTGTGCCTTTTGTCGGGTTTACTTTAATAAAAATTTATAGTACAATTGTTTTCAGTACAATTGTACTTCCTTTTCCTAGTTTTCTTATCAACCAGATGTCGTTATTTTGAGACTTTAGTAATTAAGACTGTCACTGTGTTTTGTTTTTATAGATTAATCTTCGTATTTAGTAAAGTTTTTAAAAACATTTTTAGTTAATTTAAGTGTTATTAAACATAGTTTAACCGTAGGTAAGTAATCATTCGTAAAAGTGACGAACGAAATACGGCGGGTATCTCTACTCGAACTGCTGAAACTTGAACACAAATTCTGGAAGAAAGTCGCTCGGTACTCGACCGAACAAACAAGAGCCCCTAGAATACATTTTCGATTAATAAAATATTTTTATTTTGTCATCCATAAAAATTTTTATGATAAAAATAAAAAGACGTTGCTGATATTTCTGACCAAGATCCACAAGAAAGCTCAGAAGATGATGATACTTTGTAAAAAGAAAACGCCCTCTCCTTTAAGTACGAGGTAAATTAATATTAGTGCGTAATATAGTACTTTTAATTGTGATTGATTGATTTAATAAACATGTTTCTCTTATTGACGGAAAAGAATAGTATATATTGTTAATTTCTAGAACGTAAACACATGTTTTATATTAGTCCTTTGTTTCTTATGGCACGGATTCGCATAATACGACACTTTTTCGGAACGTAACTACCGTTTTACACGAGGGATACGCGTAGTTGTATATATTTTTTTCATATATCAGGTCTAATATTTTTTTTAAACATACAAATGAAGTCGAATATAGGGGAGACCGGGGCAACTTCGGCATGCGGGGCAAGTTTGTCAAGCGCTTTTTTTAAAAANATTCTTTATTGTATTAAAAAATTTCTCCTTGTGTATTTAACCAATCAAACGATATACATATATATATATATATATAAAACCAAATACAGATATATATATATATATGACTTTGTTATAATAAAAAATTTCAGTCGTAAGATATCGAAATTCTTCAGAAGTAAAAAATGTTTCAGATATGTGTAGACTTGTGGATAGTAGAAAATGTTTTATTTGACAGTTCTTCGTTTCTTCTATATATGATAATACTTTTTGCTGTTGGTGTCATTTGTATTATTGCATTTTATTTTTATTTGAAATATAGTCGTCGCTTACTTAGACGTCTACCAGGGAATCCACTTCACCCTTTATTAGAAATTATTTCTGTTTTATACATATACTTCGAAAATAAATACCTCGAGAGAAATGTCTGTAAGTTGATTATAATTAAATTTTATACGTATTTGTAATTTTATCTAATTTTTATAGTTGATATTAATTTAGAATATAAAAAAAAAATGTTAACACTTTTATGGAGAAGGTGTACAGGTAGTGAGGACGTATATTTATTGGAAACTCCACAATTAGGTTATGACTGTACCGGTTACAAAACAACGCACAAAGAACAACTTGCCACTACAAATACAGCATAACAAGTCAATATTAATGTTAATTTTTTTTATTTTTATGGTAAGAGGGATTTATATGCTTTCATGCAGTGGTGCTTAAACTACCATCCACGGACTATACCCGAATATATTTGACTTGAATGATAGAAATAGAGCTATTTTTGGTATGCATAAAATATATATTTATATCCCGCCAAATTGGCTCACCACTTCTTTAATGAGTAATTTAAAAACTTCAAATGCACCGATAATTGAATGGCATAAATAATTTTAAAATAAAATTAACTTAAAATTTATTTACTATTTAAAACATAATAATTTCTATAACGTTTAAAATAGAAAAGGAAAAAAATATTTATTTTAAAAAATTTACATAAATATGTTGCAGTGCAGTTCCGCATAAAAGGATTTTAAATCAAAAATAGTTACATTTTATTCTCTAAATTGCACACATCAAAGATTGCAGACATGTTAAAATGTACATAATCTTTAGAACACTATTAGTCAAATTTTATTTTTAAAATAACAATAAAGTGGCTTTAAATATTTTAAAACTAACCTTATTTCTACTTAATTATCAATAGTATGTCAAAAATAAAATTTAATTGATTTTAATATACTAAAAAGTAAAAATATGATTATATAAAATACATACAATTATATTTTATTATTTTTTCTATTATAAATTATTTCTATTTTATAAAAGAAAGTGGTATGTAATATTACTGTATAATCTGTATTATCTTCAGTTCTATCAGTTATTTTAATGTGTTTATTGCAATTATGATGTAATTATTTTAATTTCTCTAACATTTATAATTAAATATATCTTTTAAATTTGTTTTAGGGCATCTTCAATTATTAAGTGGTTGTGCTCAAATTTATTTAAAAGAAGGATTGTTTCGAACATGTGTAGGAGGGTGTCCACTTGTAGTTATATACAAAGCGGAATATTTAGAAGTATGAGATATATAATTTTCAACAATAGAATTATTTACTTAAAGATATGTTACTAGTATCTCTCTTTTAGATTCTCATGAGCAATAATACAAATAACTACAAGGAAACAGGATATAAATTTCTTAACACTTGGTTGAAGGATAGCTTACTGATAAGGTATGAATTTTAAAAATTTAAATTTCGTTATTTCTTCTTGATGCATTGTTTAATTATTCTAGTTCCGGATCGAAATGGAAAGCAAGAAGGAAACTTCTTACTCGTTCGTTTCACTTTAAAATTTTAGAAGAGTTTTTTCCTATTTTTAATGACCACTGTTCAATCATGTTGGAAATAATGAAACAATCAGCTGACAAAGAATGGGTTGATATCGTACCTATTATTACTAAATGCATTCTTGATATTAACTGTGGTTAGTTCATAAAATAATTTGCTTTTTATATTATATTCAGTATTTTAATGGTTATTTTATTTATTTATTTTACAGAAACAGTAATGGGAACTAAACTAAATTCACAAACTCAGCAAGATAGAGGTTATAGAAAAAATTTGGAAAAGTATGTTATTTATTTCTTATTCCATTGTAGAATTGAGTAATTAACATAAAATAATAGACTCTTCATAAGAGAAATGCTTTGTGTCCACTCTACATCCATATTACTGTACTCGTATATGCGTATAAAATGAATATATTCACTATTTTATATGCTTAATAATCTTAGTCGAATGAAACATATTATGCTAATTAATTTTTTAAGGAAATAAATACAGTAGACTCTTGCTATAATCCGGCATACAGTCCGTTGTAATCGCCTATGCGATTCCGTTTCCATGAAAATGTCAGTCATGTCACATTTGTTTCCTGTTCACTCGGATTTCATTTTTGTGTACACTATTGCATGTCAGAGAGCCGTATTATTTGCTTACCTGTCTTCTAATGATGGACACTAACTTTATAAAAAATAGTTAACTATTTTTTATAAAGTTAGTGTCCATCATTAAAAGGAAAGTGCCTCATGAGAGGACTTTTATGTGAAACAGACCTCTACTTAGTTATTAGACACATGAAGAAAATCTCTTTAAAAATTAAGACGTGTCTATTGTTCTTAATGAAATACTGTACCTGTAAATTATGCCAAGGCAATATTTCAGTGAATTAAAAGTAAAAGTAGTTAGAGTAATTGTAACTGAATATGCAGTTAACTAGTAGTTTAATTACTAAATATGGACAGTAATTTATTGTAACTAGTACATTACTTAACTATATTGAGAATAGTTAACTAAGTTAGTTTAATTACAACAGTAGTTAACTGGCCATTTCTACTGCTTTCAAACAAAATCGATACCAAAGGACAGGTAATACCCTCCGTTGCCTTTATGTCTACATACTCTCAGTAATCCGGGATTCATGCTAATCCGACACATCTTTGTACAAGGAATTGCCGGATTACCGAGAGTTTGTTGTAGTTTAGCACTGTATATTTCGAAAGAGTTATAAAACTTCAATAAGTTATCTATAAAACATTATATTGTACTTATATACGTATTCTAAAGAGATAAATATCTTATATTTGTAATAACATATTTATCTATAAAAAATTATGATCCAATGAGAATATGAAAACTCTTCGTTAAATCAATAAAAATGAAATATAAAAGAAACAAATCAAAAAATATATATTTTCACATGTCTTTACTATATCTTATAAATTAATATTTTTTACGTTCTTATTCAAATAACTGTAAATATCATAATCTTCACGAAAAGGAATATAGTACATTCCTTTCCAGAAAATTACAATATATTCAAAATAATGATAAACAATAAGTTAAAATGTAAATCAAACGGCCAAGCGTATAATCGAGAATTCTAAGACATTGGTCTACTGTTCTGAACAAACTGGATTCGAATAGAGTACCTTCTCTTTCCATTCTATATCCTATTGCAGGTTTAATCGATCCTAAGATAAACATGTCAGAGAGACCCGTTTAATGCTCACAGAACAAGTAAAGTTCAATAAATAAATAAATAAAATCCAGCAAAGAGTTGTTTAACTTTTTCGGCAACATTTAAAATTGCGTTTGGAACTTCTGTTATAATAATTTATTTAAAATCTTTTTATATTTTTAATTATCATAAAATTGCAAAACGCTTAATTTTGAGGGTAGGAATGAGATTTATAAGAAAAAGAATTGTAAATGCTAATAACGAGTAAAATCGTCATCAAGTCCGACCCTACTCGAGACATCACACGCGACCTCCTCTATCTCCCCACCCCTTCGACCTTTAACCACCAAAATTTAACAGCATCAATTCTCCTAATAAACAAACCTCCCTTCAAAATTTTAGAAATTTTAATCAAGAAGCACGGGAGTTATTAAGCTTCAAAGTGGGTGAACAAAATCGTGCCCCTTCCAAACACTAACATCTATACATACAGATTTAACAAAGAACAAATTTTGCATTTGTCGACGTTTTAAGGTTTCCTGAGTCTAAAAGTATAAAAACCATGGGGAATCATTTTTAACAGATTGCCATACTTTCCCTCTGTTATATATAACAGAGCCGGAAAAATAAAATGAGTAAATTTATATAATTATTGTTTAAATTTATCATTTTTGTTGAATATTACTTATAAATTAAGAATAATTTGGAAATAAATTATTCTTAATTTAGAAATAATTTTTAAAAATACAGTTATCGTACATATGTTAATTTCATCTTACTTTTGTCTAATTTATTTTATGTTTTTCTTTACTTTTAAATTCAAAATAAACAGAATAATAAAAAATAAATTCATAAACTAATTTTTCAGAGTTGCAGAATTGTTTCTATGTAGATTATTCAAACCCTGGTTATGGATCGATTTCGTTTTTTTCTGCACGTCTATTGGCAAACAGTTTCTACGTCACGTCGAAGGTCTTAATACATTCTCAGAACAAGTAAGAGTAATTTATATATAAGACAATACGTGCTAATAGGAAAGGTGAATAAATTCAATTACATTCATTGACAAAAAAAAGAAGGTACCCACCAAAGAGTCTATTCTTTGGTGGGTAATAATGTAGCAACGGAAAATTTACTATGGAACAACAGTACAATTTAAACAAACTTTTAATACCTTGTTTGGAAACATGTTACAATATGGTCAGGCACGGAGGCACAGAGAAACCGTATGCTATCCTTCAAAGCAAACACACAACACAAATTTCTTACAGATGCTGCAACTGCCATTCCAGATCCCTCACACTCGTAGATGGGCAGAACCTGATTCTATAATGCTCGATGCGCGACAAATGTTACAAAATGACGGTGACATTTCTAGGAAAACCAAACTATCTTCAGCCGAGCACTTGGAAAATTGCTGTTTGCAACCTCGCCATGAAAGACAACACATAATAGCGCAGGTTTTTTTTTGAATCTACCATTGTACCGTCAATATCCATCGTACCAATGCTAGGGTGACCGACTGTCATATAAAATGACTTACTATCACATCAGTAACTAAAACTACGAGTAATTAAGCACATCAGCAGTGAGAACAGTATGTCACTCAATAATAAAACCGGGATTGAAACGCTTACCAATGGTCTTCCATTCACTAACATAGTGCTCGTCCGTTCCCAAGCAGAACTGAAATTTGTACTTAAAAACGATACTCTGCCAATCTGCAGCTGTCCGTGCTTTCTGTTATAGCATCACTACAAACAAAGCTGAAAATGCTGGGGTGTTAATGGTCGGACGCTTAGCGGTCGCCCTGCATGCAAATTTGCTTTTCTATAGTATGCCATTTGGTAAGAGAAGAAACAGGGTTCTGTATTAATGTTTCCATCTTCTCTGGATGTTGAATAAGAAACCGTTGCAGCTATTCGTGATTGTATCACGATCAGATACAATCATCTCTTTTGGTAGTCTGTCTGGGACGTCCTGAGTCTGTTCAGCATGCATGTGTGTCCTCACAAATCAGTTAGGTCAGAAAAGCCCAAAGGGTGGGTAATTCGGCGAAACTTTTATCCTGCTTCCCTCAACCCGATTATGCGACCTTTGTCAAACTCTGTCAGCTGCAAGAACGTTGGTCCATATGAGACAGAGGAGACATATTCACCCAATTTTTTTGCATTATCAAATTGTTCCCTTCTTAATGTATTTTTATTTTATACCATATTAAAAAAATTAAAAGCAGAAACGAGTACTGTATATAAGAAATACGCTTATTTTATATATCCAGTCAAAACCCGATAATGAGAAATTTTTCATACTAGTAGCCCGTTTTCCTCAATATTTATACAGATCGAACCCAATGATTAGCTGTGCCTAATCTCTTTAACTGCGTCGTACACTTGTAAGACACAGTCAAAGACTGGCGTTTGAAAGCCTCCAAACATCAGGTATACTAAAAATTCTAAATGCAGTCAGATCTTCTGCGAGCTTTTTCTAAAATACTAGGACAGTTTAAGACACTGCTGGCATTAAATGGCACCTAATGGGAACACCACTAAAATCCATTTATATACCTGTTTGAGACATAACTAGGTTATATGCCGATTTTTTCAGTAATCGGACAATTGTCTAATGAATAAATTTTTTATCAATGAGTGTGAATTGTAGTAAATTTCCAGTTTTCAGTTAAATACTTGAGGAGTATGTGTGGTAACACACAAAAGATGGTAACCCATGAAAGTATATTTTTCCTTACTAATCGATTGCTGTTCCTAACATCCGCCTTTTGTAAATTGATCAGAAATATTAATTTATTATCATATAGAGAAGGCGAATTCAATCAAAGATCTTATAATTTCGATTTTTAAAGTATAAACAATAAAATAATGCTTATTGAATTTTTCCCAAAACTAGATTCATGTGAATTACCACCTTTTACATGTACACTCTTCAATTGTCTTCTTTAGAGTGAATAAAACCAGAATTATCATTAATTATAATCTTATTTACTTACTTTGCAAAACATAACAGACGGTTATTGTTATCAGTTTAGGTGCATTTCAAATTAATTACAATGACCAGAATCTATTGTATAGTGAAGTATTATACTTCAAATATCGAAAATTTAGTACAGTAGAAATACAGTAGATCCCCCTATAACACAGGTTCCTATAGTTCGGATTCCTATATCACGGAGAAAAAATTCCGACAGTATTCGTACAAACATGCTAAAAAAACGTCATAAAACGTCATCGCCGACTCGTGTCGCGACAGGATTGGTCGAATCTAGACCAATAGCGGATATTGTACAAACCGTTGAGTTTAAACGAGCAGCGGCCCTACTAAAAACCATTTATTATTTAACGTCCATAAAAATTATATTTATATTAATGATGTCTACAAAGTTCAGCGAATTTTTCGCAAAAAAATAATTTATCAGGAAGCACGCGAGCGCCATTCGATGACAAGCTCCACGACGAAAACAAGCTTAAGCAATGGCGTAACGGTGCACGCTCGGTAAGTAATCCTACGATTTTCTGTTTATAGCATAGTTTATATGGATTATTCCCAAAAAATTATACGTATTTTGGAAATGTTGAGTCGAATAAGTCTAGAATCGATTAATTTTATGGAAGAAACCTTTCAAACAGCCGTAGTCCGTAAACTGCATACGTGCTGGGCTGTGATTGACTGAACTCGTAGAAAATGGATTCATAAAAACCGAAACGTATCTACTGTGTTATAGGGGGATCGACTGTTTAATAGTGTAATAAGTAAAAGATTCTTAAATACAGTACTTTCAATATTTTTAAGGTTCACTTTTTATTTTTCTTGTGAATAATAATAATAATAATAATAAAATAATAATAATGAGCTCTAATTTTCTTCTTACAGTATACTTAATGTACTTTTTCTTGGCCTTTGTATCCATTAAAAATTATTTTTAGATATTTGTAGAGAAGCAACAAGAATTCTGTAGAAAGAAAGATGAAGAATCAGACCTTAATCTAAATGATAACGTTTATACTGAGATTAGACAAAGAAAAGCCTTCATGGATCTTCTCCTGCATTATTACTTTCGAGAACGCAGCATAACAAAAGAAGACGTTTTGAATGAAATTAATTTTTTCATGTTTGCTGTTAGTCTAATTATATTTTTATTAGTTCATAGAATAAATTGATGTCCTACAAGGTATTCTTCATACACAGGGGCACGATACCACGACTTTTAATCTAAGCTGGACTCTCTATCTTCTTGGTCTTCATCCAGATGTACAGAAAAAATTGCAAGATGAAATTGACTCGGTCTTCGGAGAAGAAAAAGATAGTCCTGTGCAATCGGAACACTTAAAACATTTTAAATATTTGGACTGCGTGATCAAAGAAAGTATACATACATCTGCAGTGTATTTTATACTAAAGCAATCAAAAATATTATTTTTGTTATTTATTTTTAGGAGGTTTTGAGGCTCTATCCAAGTGTACCTTTCATAGCAAGAGATTTGCTTGAAGACACCAAAGTTGGTGAGTTTTTAGACCGTTTTCAAATATAATTAATTAATTTATAATCCGCTTCATATGTTAATAATTATTTGATGTAATAAAACTTTAAAGAAGGAAAATTAATTATTATATTATTCGTTAGTAAATAATTATGAAGATGAACTATATTTTATAAAGAAGAAATGTTAATACAGTATTTCAGTTATTATCTGTAATAATTGTGTCTACCTACTCACCACGGACGCCCGTACATGGGGCACTTGGGGCGCGTGTTCCCCTTTTCGTCTGGGTTGCCCTTTTCCTAATCCCCAAAGGGGCCCAAATTTCGTAATCAACAAACAACAGAAACTTCATGACTTATACTAGCCTATTTTGCAAATATAAAAGAAGCTAATGAACGATATTTGCCCATTGTTCCATGCAACTATTTTCATGGGCAGTGTCTACTCAGCCGTAAAAACAGTTGCATGTTAGTCGTAGGTTCTCTCCTCGCCAACGGGATGATCACGTGGAGTTTTCCGGGTTTCTTCATGTGTGTAATTGCCTAAATAGCCTTGGCATAGACTTGGCGATATCGCCCCCATGTGGCCGATTTTCCATGTTCAGGGGGCGATTAGTAACAATTTGTATTTTGGGGGCGAAAAACAATTTTCTGGGCGATATAGTAAAACATTATATTAATAATAATTAGATATTTTATTCGTTATATCATACAATAATTAAACAAATAACATTATACTAGTCACTAGTCTATTCGATGCAGTACGAATTTAGCGTTAGCCTTGTCCATCGGCATCGGAATTTTGTAGTGAAGGGTGCGATACTACGTAACGGTTTTATTGAAGGGGGCGATACTACGTTGAAGGGGGCGAAGATTCGTTAGATGTTGAGAAACACTGGCATCCTCTCCATATGTGATTTGCCATCGATGAATACATGACGTTTGTTGTCTCATTTTGGCATCAACGTCTAGTCCTTGAATGATGCCAATCAATCATTTTACAAATCGAGGTTTAAGAGTGGACTAACATAAGTATAAAGTTATTTGCATTATATTTGAACAGATTAATGCAGTATATTATTCGTTCATTCATGTTTAATGAAAAGTATTTAAATTCCTTGAAAACAGAAATCATCTATTTGTAACGTATTGTAAACGTTCAGTTTATGCTATTGGTTTTAGATTCAATAATTATGAGATGAAACATTCATGAATATTTGCGTATGGGCAAATTAAATATGGAGTTAAAATATTTAAAAATATCATATTGGCTAAATGTAAATTTATTCGTGACCAAAAACTCAATTATCGTCACTTTGTAAGGTAAAGCATGATTTGACGAGATGCTTTCAGACTTAATACGAATTTTTAATCCATGAGAGCAGCGCACTAAAATTCACTCGATATTTTCGAAACGATTAAATACCGAGAGTTGACTCACCGAGATACAGCACTACTACTGATTCGAATCATTATATCCACTTACTCACCTATTGGCCAAGACTGTAATGGACAGACTGCACAGAGCTGCCAACCTTACGGGATAAAACCTTATCGTATCTGCCCCTTGAAATTATCGTATTTCACTTAAAATTATCGTACAGCAATCTCGATCTGTTACATTAACAGCCTTCATCTGTAGAAATATTAACTAGGTTCTATGTTAAAATCTCTTAAACTTTTTATCTGCGACCCCTTCTAACAACAAAAAATTTTTAGATCCCATTTTACAATGAAGTTTTTACGATTCCCCTTTATAATGTTAATATATGATGCAAAACAAGCATCTAGAATAAACATAATCTAAAATTTACGTTTTTTTTTCATACAATTTAATCATATGAAACATTAACAATTTTTTTTGTACATCAATTTGAGCATTTTATCAGTCGGTCTAAAAGGATAGCAGTTAGCAGGCTCAAAAAGTGCGAAAAAGGGTGCGCCTTATTATCGAGAATATACAGCAATAGCCAATCTAACTTGTAAGTAAAAACTTCCGAAAATTTCGTAGCCTTCTAGCGGAGAAAAAAGAAACGAAATACATAAATGAAAAGGCAATGCGTACAAAATTGGTGATTGAGATTTGGATTTTTTCAATAATTAACGATTGTTTTGGGAATAAGACGAATTTCTGAAATTATCATGTACACCTGAAATAATCATACAAATACGATAATTATCGTACGGATAGCAACTTTGGCCTGCACAAGCAAATACGAGCAATGTTGCCAGGTCTGGTGATTTAACGTCAGATTTGGCGTGGCATCTGTCCAGTATAAATACAAGTACTGTAAAAGCAAGTACTGGATAGTCTAGATCGGTTCAAAATTATCGTATTGGCTGTATCGGCAGAATTCAATATCGTATCATCTCTACCCATTATTAGTAGTGTATTGTACGTAATAAGTTAATGTAATCTAATATAACTTGATTGCTATAACTTAAATTCAGATAAATGTTGAAGGTCTTAAAATAATTTTAATGACTGTATTCTTCATAATTAATTACTGAAATTAAAATTGAAAATTTTGATAAATGCTTTTGAAAGTATATATATTTTTAATTTAATAATTTAAAAGGCTATTCTTGAATACGAAATGTTAGGTGATTAGAATTAAAGTTGGAGTATTCAGAGGATTCTGTAGCTCCAACCAATATGCTGAGTGGCACTAAAATTTGTGTACGTGTTATTGAAAGGATTTGAAAAAAATTTAATTTCAAAATTGCTCGTTACATGGTAAATGGCAGTGCATGCAAAGAAACAGAAAGAAACAGAAACACAGTGAAAAAGCATTTATTCGTTATTCATTCGTTAAAGCATTATGGAAACATACTGGTACTTGCTACACAGATTGATCTTTAAGTCTCTGAATGTTGCAACATTATCATGATAAACCATTTTTCAAATGGTCCCACAGCCATTTAAAGAAAAATGCTCGCTTCAGTAGTGATAGTCATCATAGCTGTAGCTGATAAGAATAACATTCGTTATGTTGTCGGCATTTTTTGCCCGTCTGGACTGCATTCCACGTGATTATGCATATCATATTTCTTTGTGTTGCGGTGTTATTTACCCCGCATTGGAACTAAAATTTTTCTTTGCAAAATCCTTTACAGCATCCTTTGAATAGCGTTTACACAAATTTTGGTGTCAGTCGGCTTATTGGTTGGAGCTACAGAGTTCTCTGAGTAGGACAACTTTAATTACGATTACCCTGTATCTTGTATTGTAAAATATTTGACTGTAATTTTATTTTTATAGTCAAAAATTAAATGAAGTCATAAAAACTATTGATTTAACGTTAGCACGTGAACCTCTTTAATTAAATGAGATAATTTTGATGTGATTTAATTGCAGGCGATCATTTTATTCCGAAGGGAACATTTTGCCTTTTCTTCTTATATCAACTTCATAGAGACCCTAAAGTTTTTCCGAACCCGGAAATATTCGATCCCGATCGATTTTCAGCCGAGAACTGCCGAAAACGGCATCCATTTGCTTATTTGCCATTTTCCGCTGGGCCAAGAAATTGTTTGGGTAAGATAGTTTCTTTGTTATTCATAACAAAACTAAAAACATTTATAGCATTTCTATCGTTGTTAATAGGTCAGAGATACGCCCAGATTGTAATTAAATTAATGCTGATTCAGATATTACGAAAATTCAGTTTAATTTCTCTAGATCCTAGAGATCGAATACCTACAGGAGCAGAATTGCTCCTTCGTCCAAAAGTGCCTTTGAGATTAAAAGTCATTCTGAGACAAAATTAGATTACGATTATGGTTCTATTTTATGAAACTAACATATGATTTCTTTGTGCAATTTCTTTAAAGCCTAACTTAGACATAAACGAAAATATTTCTTTTAAAACTAACTTCTTTATGGTCATTTAGGTATAATGTGAAACAAATGTAGATGTTATTTATATAAATAAAATTTTTTTATATAAAATTTATTTCATTTAATAACAGAAAGAATATTTCTTATGTAAACTATTATGATTTTCCTTTTAAGTTTATATATAAAACTAGCAAATGATCCCGGCGTTGCTCGGGCAAAAAATAACAACAAACATTAACATTATTAGATTCTTTCGTACTTCTAACTCTTCCATTATATTAGAGGAGAAGGTGGTATTATGGAACCCCAATTATATTTTAGTGAATTGTAAACAAGGTATCGTAACTACACCCACATTTTTTGTGCGAAAAGTACTGGTAACTATTAAACTAAATGTTAATAATTGGATTTTTCGCTAGTGTAACTATAAGTATGGTTTTTGAAGGCTTTTGTACAAAAAGTCCGAAAGTAGGCTTAGAGAAAATCGGGTGGTAATATGGAACCTTACTGTATATTTTCAAAAAAATGCTTTAATGTAGCCAAAAACAAATAGGAAAGGACAAAAAATGTTAAATAATTACAAAATTATTTACTCCAATGTATTTTATCGCAAAAATGCTTTTATAATAGAAAAATATGACCTCCATCAACAATATATATTCCAGCAGCTCTTTTTCGATATTCTCGGGAAGAATTGGCTTTCTACCTAGTGTCTTTTTCACAAATTGCTCTGGAGGAATGTCTGCTTGCAAATAGAAAGTTCGGAGGAGTTGAGTTCCATATTACCGTAAAAGCACCAATGGGGTCCGTATTTTACGCATCGCCATCTCGAATTAACTTGTCTGTCGAGACCGAAATTTAAAAAACTTGAACATCGCGCAGATTAATATGTACCCCTAAGTCTCTGGAATGGAATACATGCACTAGTGAACCTACAACTACACGATTTATATTTTTAAAATAATTAAATTCACTCAGCATTCAAAACTTGCGAATTTTGAAAAAAACAAATTTGCTGATTAAATGCGGACAACCGTTTAACTGAAGTAAAACGGGTTTTCTCCTTGCTATGGATGTCTGCCTAGTTCAGTTCAGCCACATTCCGCTACAGTACGCCTTTATTAACAGTTCGAAATGGGGTGGTTCCATAATACCCGCAGTGTTCCATAATACCACCTTCTTCTCTATAGTATAGTATTTGATTTATATAACATGAATGTTACCTCTAAGAAACGGTTCCATTCACAGCCGAATATCAAATGATAATCTGCCAACGAATCATATTTCGCGAGAAAAACGGACCAAATATTTAAACTCGGCACTCTCGAAAACCATTTAAATCGTATTTTGTGCTTCCGGTAACTTCGTATTATGTAATTTTTCCTATTCGAATACCGCTGGTCCAATAGAAAAAAGAGAGTCAAAAATAGACTTCGTGTGACTTGTTTAAACTTTAAAAAATGTTGTAAAAATGCGAGAATAATTGCTTTAATGTGATCCCATAATAGTGAAACCAGGTTGAAAAAGTAAAACTCAGCAAAAACATGTAAGTAAAATAACTTTTGAAAGTTGTGGCATAAACATAGTGGAAGCAGATTTGACAGTAAAATTCAACATGTGAACAAAGTGCACATTACACAGACTACAGCTACAGGAAATTTATAATGAAGCATTGTTGCCATAATAATAAATAGGAAAAATAAACGTTAGCACAGAAAAAGACTTCGAGCTCTACCTGTGCCTTAAAATCGTTGCATGTATTGTACTGTACATTAACTTGGCGTAACGGTAGAACATCTTAAGCAGTATCAGTGAAAGAAGTTTGAGTCAATGGGTATATGAGTTAGTAAAAGGAGATGAAATCAGGGAAGGAACGGGATATATATACGAGTACAGGTTTTCTGGTAGTTAAACACGTCCTCGTAAATATCGCGTTTATAGAAAAATTATTAGAATTGGTTTGGTTTATTTGGTTACGGCAACGCGACACGTGAGCGATCCTCCGAGGAAGATGCATCTCGGAAAGACTTTTATATAAAGCTGACCCCAATTTAAGTGTTACTAACGCGAAGAAAACCCAGAAAACTCCATGTGGCCAGTCCGACTGACGACCAGTTTTCGGTGGTTTTATTCACTCGGTTACTGGAGGATAATTATTGGGCTGCAGTTGAAAAAAAAGTAGACCTATAAATTCCCACTGTGGTCCGTTCGTCTCTGTCTTTCCTTAACGCAAATTATTAATTTCTCGATGCTACCGCATATATCAAAATCGCTTTAATCAAACACAATAGTAACTCGGTACTCGATCAAACAATCACGATCCAATAGAACAATTTTCGGTTAATAGAAATATTTTTATTTTAATTTTTCATTAGTAAAAAGTTTTCTGTGAAAAAACTGAGTAACTAATTTTAAAATAAAATGAATCTTTAGAGTTCTGTTGGGAATTAAGAAAAGGGCATACTGTACTAATGTACTGTACGGGTGTCCTGCAACCCACCGATTTTGATCAGCTTGGACTTGATGAAATTACCCGAAAAATGTGTGTATGTATATTTGTTTTAATATGCAAATTATTGATAATAAATACTTGGATAAATAATCGGACAGAAAATGTAAAACCTAAATATTTCTAGCAAACAGTGACATCCCATGATATTGCATTTGCCATCATCATATGCTAACACATTCTCAAAATGTGTCCGATCTATCTTACCTCCTTTTCTCAAATCAAAGTTTTCTGTAATTCTCGAATAGAATTAATATAATGTGATAATTATATTCGAGAATTACAAAATAGTTCGGATAATTCAAAATAGACTACTTTTTTAAACTGTTTCCGCCCTGTGGGCACTAAGAGGGCCTCTTTTTGCAAGCCCACTATTGGTTCGGCCAGGCCCACAATAGGGCTGCCGGGTAGTGTGGGACGGGGCCAGACATATCCATCCGAACGGACCAACCCCGAAAATTACTTCGGGATTTTTCGACCCGTTCGGATTCGAGCTCGGGTTCCCCAGAGCGGTAGGCTACCACCTTGACCGCCTTATTCAAAGTACTGTTTTTTGCTTCCTTGAGTTTCGAAATACTGTAACGAAGAATTTACTGTATCGAGAGGAGTCGGACTCAGTGAAGATTTTCTTTGTTATTAGCATTTACAAACACATCCCTACACTCGAAATTAAACTTTTTACCATTGTATAATAATTTAAAATATTTTTTAAAATTTTGTAATAAAATCTCATAACACACAATTTTATTTATTTATTATGATTAATGATATAAAAGTTTTCTTAAATAAAATCTTTTAACGGATGGAATGATACGCAACGCGTTGCTGGATGAAAATTGTATTATAAAACCAGTCAAAAGGCCCGACAGGCATCGGGGCATACTAAATTACAAATAAAAATAATAATATACTGAATAATATACTATAAAAATATAAAATAATTTATATCGTTAATTTAAATTAATTTAAATAATAGCTAGGGGCGTCCCTAGTGGCCATTTTTGCCATAAAGTGACAGAAAGAAAGAAAGAAAAATCCGGTTTTTTAGCTTTATATAGTATGATATATATAAATACAGTATATATTTATTTACCGGTTGAAACTGACTCAGTATTTCATGATTTTTGCATTAATGTGGTCCACAAACTTATAGTCGTGTACCCAATACCAGTGCCGGCCCGAGGCAAGTTTTAGGATGGAGCGAGATCCTATTATGGCGCCCCCCTTGGTTGCCCCTAATTTATACCCTTTAATTTTCTTTATCACTGAGGCGCCCCCTAGGACTTAGCGCCTGGAGCGGCTGCTTCGTTCGCCCTATGGTAGGGCCGGCTCTGCCTAATACGAACCCCTGAGTACCCCTTATTTAGACCGTAGTCTTCTTTCTACACGTTCTGTGTATCTTGTCGGATTATCATTGAATGGCAATGACAATGCGAAGCGATCATGTTGAAAAGCCTTAAAAATTAATTTCCATAATTTATTGACACGTACATAAACCAAGTACGATGCGTTTCATGTGGTAAACATAATTTTTCGATATTAATTTAATAAATCAACTGTTAAAATGACAATAATCTACCAAACACGTGCAGTAATTATAATTGTCTATACAGCCACAACACGTGGAATTAGCTAGAAAGGTAATTCGTTCTGTAAGTATTTATTTTATGCTGCAAATCTCTACCCACACAAATAAATTATGTAGTAACTTGATATTAACAATTTATTTCTTGCCAAAAAGCTAAATAGAGTAGATTCATAGTCGTGATTTAAATATACATACAAATTCCCTCTAACGTTCGTCTACTTGTCCTTCTTTAATTTCTAGAATTAGATACATAAAAATCGAAAGGGATATGGAAAGCTTTGAAGGAGGAGGCACCATTAACGGAGGCATATACGAATTTTCGAAACCAGGTTATTTCAATTCAAATATTTTCTAATGAATGCCAGTCATTTATTTAGATAGAGGACCAGCATTCAATTTAATTTTATTGTTAACAGAAAAACTACAATGTACAGGAACAAGACGTTATTTATTGTGATGTTGTCGCAATAAATAACTGCTTCTTACTTCTCTTATTCCTATGTGTATTGGCTTATTTTCATCCCTTTTTATAATAATAAAATAAAGAAAAACACGCAACTCTTCGCTTGCCCTCTCGGAAGAACGGCAACCCAGAACTCATCAGGAAGTGGCTGCATCAAAGTTCCACTAAAGAATGCAATTGCACACGTGATTAACATCACTTGCGCAGTTTCATTCGTCCTAACTCACGCTTGAATAACATCTCTTTAACGTTAACTCTTTCAGCCCTGTAGGGCTGAAAGAATTTTTAAAAATTATATGTAGTTTTAATCATTATCATTATTTATAAGCAAACGAATAATTAATATTATTGATAGTTTAAATATAATAGTAACTTATACAATACAATAATCTGTATGTGATGCAATAATTAACAGAGTTTTAATGTTATCAATATTAATGGCTATCAAAGAGAGCACATACTAAGAAAACCATA